TAATTGCATATTGCTTAGTGAAAGAAGCCAGTCTTAGGGCCGGCGGAGTGGCTCAGTTGGTTAAGAGCTCACTTAAGAGTGTGAGCTCTGAGCAACAGGGTCACTCGCTGGTTTGATTCCCGGCCTGAGCTGAGCTGCTGCTGAGCTGCCAACAGGTGGCAGGATGGCTTAGCTGGAAAAAAAAAGCCAAAAAACAAAAACCAGTCTGAAAAGGCTACATATTGTATGATTCCAACTATATGACATTTTGCAAAGGCTCAAACTATAGATAATAAAAAGATCAGTGGATGCCAGGGCGAGGGGGGAGGGATGGATAGCTGGAGCACATAAGATTTCTGGGCAGTTTATCTGTATGATACTATAATGGTGGATATGACATTATGCATTTGTCAAAAACCCATAGAAATGTACAACACAAAGAGTGACCCCTAACGTAAACTATGAGGTTTAGTTAATAACTTATCAGTAGTGATTGATGAGTTGTAACAACTGTACCACATTAATGCAAGATGTTAATAGACAAACTTGGGCGGGGGGTTATGGGGACTATTTGATCAGTTTTCTGTGAAGTTTAACTGGCTTTATAAAACGATTTTTAAAATAGCCACGTGATTTTAAAAATCTAAATAGAAAATGGGCAAAATAGAAAGTAACATTTAACTGAAGGGAATCTAGAGATTATAAATATGCACATGAAAAGTGTTCAACATTATTAGCCATTAAGGAAATGCAAATTAAAAGCATGACGGGATATTACTGCACACCTATCAGCATGGCTAAACAAAAAACTAGTGACAAACCCAAATGCTGGAGAAGAAACAAAGAAACTGGGTCACTCATACATTCTGTTTGACATGTAAAAGGGTACACACACCCACTGTACAACACAGGTTGGCAGCTTCTTTAAAAATTCAACATGAAACTACCATGTGACCCTGTAATTGCACTCCTGGGCATTTATCCCAGAGAAAATGAAGACAGGTTCACAGGAAAACCTGGATAGGAATGTTTCTAGCAGCTCCATTTGTAACGGCCCCAATGTCCTTCCATAGGAAATGGTTAAAGAAACCACGGTGTGTCCATGCTGTGGAATAGTGCTTGGCAATCAAAAGGAACGAATTACTGAGCCATACAACCACCAAGATGAATTTCTAGAGAATTACGCTGATTGAAAAATGCAAGTCCCAAAAGGTTATACAGTGTATGTTTCCATTTACACATCATTCTGGAAATGAGAAAGTTACAGAACTGGAGAACAGATTAGTCACTGCCAGGGATCAAGGGCGGGAAGTGGGTGCAACATGAGTGTCCCTTGTGGAGGCCGTAATGTTCTTTATTTTGTCTTATCAATGTCAACATTCTGGTTGTGATTTTTAACAGTTTTGTAAGATGTTAGGAGGACTCTGGGTAAAGAATACACGGGATCTCTGTCTTATTTCTTGCAACAGTATCTAAATCTACAAGTATCTCAAAATGAAAACATTAAGAAAATCAAGCACTATAATGTGAAAGTGGGGCCCACAGACCTTGGATCTTGAACAAGACTTCATATAAGCCCGTCAGCACATGCGCTGTGAGAGGAACTGGCTTTCAGTTTGATGCTCAACCACCAACAGCTGAAGTTAATGGATGGAGATTTTTTTCAATTTTATTTCTCTCCACCTTTCCCTCCAAGCTGACCTAAAGAAAATCCTCCCGGGTGTTGGTAGGCTTAAGGAAGAGCAGAGAGGAGGGAGCCTGGAGACGGGCGTGGGGAAGATGGGGGCAGGGACGTGAGGTGGGGTGAGTGGGAAAGCAGGCCAGCTGGGAAAGAGAGCTGCTGCTTCAGGAGTGTGGGCGTGCCTTACGCGGACCCACTGAAACATAGAAAAGTGCACAGGCGGCAGTGGACAGCTCAATGAATTTTTACAAACGGAACACGCCCGGTTATTCAACACCCAGCTCAAGAACGTCACAAGCACGCCAGGAGTTGCTGTCGTGCCCCCTTTCAGTTACTCCTTTGCCCATTTACCTAAGTGGAATCATAGTAGGTGCTCTTTTGAGTCTGGCTTATTTTACTCAACATTAAGTTGGTGAGATCCTGCTGTGACGTTACTTATACTTGTCGGTCTTCGTTCTACAGAATTCCACGTGCAGATACACTACGATTCATGGATTCTAACGATTCATGGATTCTAACGGAGGGCATTTGGATAGCTTCCCGTCTGGGAATAGTGCTGCTATGATCATTCTAGCACATGTCTTTTGGGAACATACGCATTTCTGTTGGGCATATACCTACGCGTGACAAAGCTGAGTCATAGCATATAGGCACATTCGGCTCTCGTAAAACAAGTTTCTAAAAGGGTAGTACCACTTTACACTTCCACCAGGACTTAGCTAGATCCTTCCTAACACTCGGTATTTGAAGCTTTTAAATTGTAGTCATTCTGTGGGTAGGCACTGGAATTGTGTTTTGGTTTTAATGAAGAGTAATGAAGCACAAGGGCCCCCAAGTTTTGAGGGGCCAGGCACACAAGGCAATTCCTCAGCCTAGGAACCCAAACTTGCCCAGGGTGTTTTTCTTCCCTTTACAACAAGAGTCTCCTTTGGTTCAGGCCTGCACTGATGGTGACAGGTTGGCATGTTTCCCTTAGACTTAATAGTTCAGCTCAAACCATCTTAACCAAAGGTTACCAGTAACAGCAAAGAAGAGAATGACTACTTAATGGGACAGAATCAAGATAACTACCCAGTTATCTGTCCAGTGATCACTTCATTCCAGCCATTTCTCTCTCGGAACCCACTGGGATCCCCCAGAGTTGATATGAAGATGATTTTAAATTGAAGACATTTCAGATTCAAAAGATGCAAAAAGCCGTTTTTTTCAGAGCTTCCTTTATCTGACTATCTCAGATACTTCTGAGAGGCCATACTCAAAGCTCTCCCCCTCCTGGGGAGTTTCATTGGCAACAAGGTGGAGAAAACGCTAAAACCTGCGTAAACATTATCACAGATTTTCCTGTTTTCCATTTGTCCCCCTAAAAACCCAATGTCAAAAGAAGCCATTTGGCCTTTCATAGAAGCCTTTTTCTCCCCCTCCGTTTCCCCTATTAGGTTAGGTTATAAACTTTAAGTACGTTAAGGAGCCACTTTTGTGGGCTTCCTATGCATGTGAATGAGCTTTGTCTTTTCTGTTCATCTCTTTTGTCAGTTAATTCAAAGACACCAATCACTGAAGCCAACTTGGTGGAAGGAAGCTAATCTTCGCTTGTTGCGGTTGAATAGCAGTAGGACCCGTCAATTTGGACTCACCTCATCACAATACACAACCATCAACCTCTTTAGTACAGCTGTTCCAGTTAAAATATAAGACTTTTAAGCCTTCCAATTTGAGAGTGCCTAATTGACCCATGTGCCAAGGGCCTGGTGAAAACCCACCCGATTTTAAAGCTGAGCGTTCGTTAATGTCTGCGGGTAGTGAGTTTTCTTTTCTGTAAAGCAGGGTACCCTCGACATAACACCAGCTTTCTCAGCGAGCCAGGCCTGTCCCGCACATCTGCCCCGTGGGGGGTTAATGTCTTGCCAACCTCACGCACCAGAAACACTAGGACTCCAGATTTTTACCCCTAGAAATAACAGACGGCTCCTTACAAAGGCACCCCAAGAGTTTGGACATCAGAACCTTTTTTCCAGGGACACATGCGGGGCCCAAGTCAGACCGGCATTCTGAAAACAGGATTCCATTTGTTGCTTAGTGTATATTTTTGGAAAATCTAATGGAAAGGGGACCTGAAACAATATTCCTCTGCTCATTTTGGAGGGGGCCGCAAGAGGAATCCAGAGCTCCCAATGTTCAGTGCTGTCCCCGGGGAGCCTGTGCTACCGAGGCGGCGGCCGCGCGGATGGAACCCGGGCCGCCCCGAGCTGCCCGCTCCAGGCTCGCAGGCGCCACGCATCCGCCCCGGGTTACGTAGCTTACCTGCAGGGGGCTGCAGCGAGGAGTGGATGGGCCACCACGACACTCCGGGGCCATCTGGAAGGGAGCAGACGTGGGACGCGGATTTGGGTACCCGCCGCAGGAAGGGGTGCAATGCAGGACTGGGGTGGGAAGCCTGCGACGAAGGAGCGTGTGCGAAACCAAGCAACCTAGACCGCGGCCCGAGCTGGAGACGGAGGGAGCCCGTGGACGCCCGGAGCTGACACTCAGCCCTTCTGTCAGCGGGGAGCCGCCGGGTGGCTCAGGGCCCGGGCTCCCGGCTCAGCGGCCACCGCCCTCCCGGCAGCTGGGCTCCCGAAGGGCCCCGAGCGCTGCGCGGGCGCGAGTCCCATCCTCCTCGGGCGCCCAGGTGACCCTCAGAAGCGAAAGGTCCCGCGCGGACCCGCGGAACCCACGCGCGGCTCGTCTGGGGCTGGAAGCCCCGGAGTTGAAAACACCTGCGCCAGACCCCACCCCAAACCAATGAAAGCAGCCTCGGGGCTGGGACGTCGGCACCTGCGTGTTCTAAAAGCTCCTGGGGGATTTCTATCAGTTGCAGCCAGTTGTGATCCATTTTCTAAAAGGATTCAAGTTAGTGCGTACGAGAGAGCTTCTAGCACGTCCAAAGTCCATATGGGATTTTACAAAGACCCGTTTCCTGAAATGATTGGAGAGTCTCGTGTAAAAAATAAAACGAAAGGGGCGTCCTTACCTTTTCATCGACTTCCATGGTTTTGAAAATGGGTTTCATGTGGCAAGTAAAACCCAACTGCACCTCTAAAAATCTTGCACTGAAAACACGTTCACATTGTGTCAACAATCAAATACCTTCCTGTTTCATATATACTCGTGTGTTTTTTTTCTTCAAACGAGTGTTGTTTATGACAGAAAAGGTGAATGTTGCTGTGCTTGATCTGCTGTAAAGGATTTGGTCCCACCTCCCCCAAAAGCTAACGGAGCAAATGGAACGTGCCGACATTCCCAGATGATATCCACTTAGCCAAGCTACTCCTTAGCGAATGCAAAGGATGACAAGTGTCAGTACTTCATACAACTAGATTTAATAAGTTGTTATTACAGAAAAAAAATGAAGTCCAAACTACAAAGTTTAAGCAGTTGTAAGCAATAGCTGCATTGAGCTCCATGTTTAGTCACAGTACTGCAGTTCCATACAAGCAATATTAGTCCAAGCCCCAAAGGCAGAAGCTGAGTAAAGGTTACTAGCAAAAACAATCTAAGAGAACAGGTAATAAAAGATACAATACATTTAAAATTAGTTGTTAGTTGAAAAACAAATACAGAGATCTTAGCTGTGAACACTCTAAAAGTTATGTCCATTATTTTGACAGCAAAAATACAAATACCTAATACTTTATACCCCAACAGAGCTATATCCAGAAGAGAAAAAAGAGCAGAAGTTATCCTGTATTAGCACCCGAGTTTTCTACTTGTTGCGATTAACTTCATCGTCATACAAATTTAAACATCCCCACATCACATATCCACTTCTTGACCCATTTTGGGGTATAAAGTCAACAGCATTAATTATAAAATACTCTGTGGTAAAATGGAACACTATTGCAGCTGAGATAGAGAAGTTTGGTTATTATTAAAAAAATAACAGAATGTTAGCTGACATACCATACAAACTGGTGAAAAAGCAACAATCCATACAAATAAGTCAGTTTTAACAAAAAAGATACTTTTTCCCCCCACTATTCTGTGACTAATCTTTCACTCAAACCTTGCAAGTAGAGATGTCACAATACTCAAATATTTAGATAGGAGCTTTACCCAGTTAAATACCATTTTGTTGCTAATAGAATAGATAAAATTAAAACTAGCAGTTATTTGCTAATTGCATAAATGCGATACATTCTGCATTAGCCCATGCCTCACTAACAAGCTATAAAACACAAGATATAAGCAGAAATCTAAGCATAATCTTTATACCACTAAGCAAGAATTTTCCAATTTCTTTTCTTCTGTTCCTAATCACTTATTTGTAGTTAATGTAAAATTCCAACCAGTAATACCCAATTTGAGTTAAAATTTTACATCATAACTTGACCTAATCTATATATTATTTACAAAACTGAATACATAGAGCATACCTCTGGACGCGCGTTTCTCTGAGTTATTGACAACCTCGCCTCCGTGGCAACAAAACTGGAAGAGGCCATCAAGGACTGGTAGAAACGCATCATCCATCTAGAGCAAGTCATTGGATGTTCTGTTTACGCAACACCAGTTTTGCAGTTATGTGGGTTTTTTCGTTTTAATTTTAGGTGCCATCACAATGACACGCTGCCTTAACAGCACAGCTTCCAGGAGAGTGAGGTGGGTGTTGGAAAGGCAGGAGGGCAGAGAGATCATGCTGGGGTGTTGCCAGATGCATTGCCACAATAAGGGACAATAAGGGACAAACAAGGGGCACCATAACAGGGAGCAGGTGGGGATGGGATGGGGTGGAGGAAGACGAAGTCTGAGACTGTCCATACACAGTGGTGATGTCTGAGAGTGCTTCCTCGGTGGACACCCAAGTACAGGGAGCTAACTCAGGGGAGACAATGCAGTCAGTCTAATGACACAGAGGTGGTGTCCTCTCAGCAACTTCCCTTCACTCTCAGACGTCACCGCTGGGAGTGCATGGAAAAGATCTGGCCTGGGCGAAAGGTACCATCTCACAGGACAGCAGTTGGTGGCAGATTCACACACACACACACACACACACACACACACACACGACATAATGAAGACCATCTCACAGGACAGCAGTTGGTGGCAGATTCACACACACACACACACACACACACACGACATAATGAAGAGTTAGAGGGGAAAAGCAATGAGTCATTCTGTTGACCTCACAGGACAGCAGTTGGTGGCAGATTCACACACACACACACACACACACACACACACACACACACACACACACACACACACACACATACACGACATAATGAAGAGTTAGAGGGGAAAAGCAATGAGTCATTCTGTTGACCTAGCCAGGTGCTCCACCTGGTGGTATTTCACTAGGGGTGACTTCAGGATCAGGCCACAGGTTTGGCTGCACCTGGTGTTGTATAAATCCACTGTGACATCCCTAGACAACTGTACTGTGACATCCCTAATCTTACACTAAACCACTGTAATAAAGGAAAAGGCTTGTCAAAATCTCACATGTTCTGCTCATTCTGTCATTTTATTACCCAATTGTTCATTACATTTTCCAATCACTTTACATAACCAACCATTTTCATTGTTGTCACACTATTGTAAACCACATCAGCAAGTTAATACATAAAGCTTTGCATTTCAAAAAACTAGACACTTTAGTAACAATATTACAAAGGTTTTAGCTTCAAAAATAACTGAAAATGAAAAAAATAAACTTTTAAAGAATTAGCATCATAAAATTAATTTATTCCAAGTAAAAATACAAAATAATATTATGACATTGACCAGATATGAAAGTCCCTCCCAGAAACAACTCTATTAATGATTGAGAAAGCACTCCTTAAAGAAAATACGAAATAAAATGAAAAATATGTAAATATGTTTAATTTTTTTCTTAGCAAAAAATCTTTCTAAAAATAACAATGAAAATTTGTCTCAGTACAAAGGCTACATTACTATTGAAAAAATACCAGCATGAAGAAAAGGTACATATTTGACAGTAGAAAAATGATTTCAGTGAATCACAATGTCTAAAGTTTGCAATGAAAATAAATCTGCAATAAAGATTTATGCCTTTTTTCTTTTCTTTTTTTTTTCTATTTTTTATACAAACAGTACAAACAGTATTGCACATAACAACAAATAGTCGAGGTTAGGTTATAGCCTTCAAAAAATCGACTAGTTCAAGTGTCACGTCAAGGAAAGGCCACAACAGGACCTGTGATACCCAGGGGCTTCCCAGTCAAGTTGCAGGTCAGAACACCTCTGTGTTTTAAAAAATAATTTTTTTTGAAGGACCCTCTCTTTTAATATAACATTAACAACTTGGGGGCACATTTATTTACAAAACAAAAGGGAACATGTTATAATTTAATAAACTAAAAAAGTTCTCTTTAAAAAAATACAAACAGAAGAACTCTTTCACAATCCTGGTCAGTCGTGCACAATCAACGCTTGATTATAAATATACAAATTAAGGGAAAGTAGTTTCCACCATCTATTCACAACGTTCAGCACCAAATGGAGTTTATTTTTTGTAACCTGTTCTTAGACAATGTTATTTCACCTTCACGTTAAGCATTAATGCTGTACGATCTTCCAGCTTTTTTTTTTTCCTTAAATCTCAGTGTTATTTTAGTACATGAAAGAGGGGTGCTTCTTCAAAAAGTTTTGCTCCTTTCACATAATTAGGTAGATTTCTGTAGGTTAGATATGATCTTTAATATTATAGTTATAAAGCTCTAACTTCTTCATTTTCAAAAAACACAAATAAGCATGAAAAAAATAAAGTTACCCATCTGTTAAATCATTTTTCTTGCAGAATTAAATTAATATATATTTTTCTGAATAAACTTACTTAGAAAATATCATTTTCTCTCCTATATTTCAAAATTGAGGTATTGCAAAAGATCATGTCAGTCAGAAAGCATGCCTTTTTCCTTAAAAACAAACAAACAAAAAATCTTCAGCCAACTTTTGAAAACTGTCTAGAATACAAAAAGTAGTAGTGCATAACAAAATTTCTTGTACAGATGAAAAAAAACCACAAACATAGAAAAAAACAAACAAACAGAAAACCACAGCTGGGCTGGAAAAAAGCAATTATTACCAAAAAGCCCAGAGGTAACCTCAAAAGGGGAGAATTCTAATAAGCATTTTTAATCCAGTAAAAAACTATTTTGTTTTTCCTCTTTGAAAACAAACTATAGTTTGAGAGCTGATAATTGCAACTAAACACGGAGAAACAAAACAAATCAGAACAAAAACAAGCAATATTAACTTAAGACAGGACAAGGACATCACAGCACATAAAACACAGCGATTTAAATCTATTCTGCAGTGTCATATCCAGTCAGATTGTCCCCAGAATTCCAAAACATAGGAAGATTAAAAAAAAAAAGATTTACATAGTCTCACAATCATTGTGTGTGTTTATATATTACTATCTGCAGCCCAAGAGTGAATGCTAAGAAAATGTCCATGGTAGTACTAGCAGGTCTGAATTCTATTCAAGCTTTACAGGATAAATCCAGGGAATTAAGTAGTTCATTTCTCACCCAGACAACCAACCCTGCCCAGGCCATCTGATTTGGTACAGACATTTCTTTAGCATCACCATCACGCAACTTTCTTAAAAAATGTGCCTAGTTTGTCAATCTGACAACTTATCTCTATATACTGTATATATTCCTAGTGTTTGTAAGCTAAGATGAGCTCTTTGGTTTTCTGGACAAGGTCTGAAGCTATGTAAAATGGTGCAAGCACTAGGAGATTGTAACTAAGAGCTCATGTGTTAGTTAATAGTATACCAGTTATGAACTGTCAAGTTCATTAATGTCTGACACAGAGGCTTTAAACAGTTAAGTTTGATCACAGTTAGACATAATCACTTTACTATATAAAATAAATTGCACAATATATAACAGAGCACCGCAAAGTACTTCATCTACCATCCACAAATTTGCTTTAAGAATATCCTACACCTAGGTTTTATATTGGTTGTAATATAGGTCATTCTGTTATGGGCTCTTCCTAATTTCAGAAGCATTCCATTTATTGAGGCATGCCTTCCTCCGGTCAATTACCAATTCTTTGAATGAAAAAAAAATTCTTTTTTTTTAAAAAAAAATCAGTATTTTATAGCTTATATAGATTCTTAATTTGTGCAGTGTGGGAAGGTTTTATACTAGACATTGGATATAAAATTTATTGCATGCAGCAACCTGATTAAGTAAACATGCAGTCAGAAATAGTGACCTTCCGTTGAAGCTTTCTGAAGTCTATTCTGATCTCCGTTCGGCAGCTGATTCTATCCCTAAATCACAAACGTGTGTTGTTGGTTTTTTTTTTTTTTCATTGATACCTTAGCCTGAATAGAGTATTATGGTATTAATAATACCATTTTAATAGCAGCAAAAGCTATTGCAGCATAAATTTACATAACACTAAAAGATCTAACCAAAATCCTCAGCAAAACAAAAATCAAACATGAAGTAAAAATAAAGATTCAGCTTATGAGGTATCCTTACATGTCAAAATAGGGAGCAACTAAAGGCTTATTTTCATTAAGGGTAATCCTTACTCTAAATGACCCCAACTAATGGTTGCTGAATTGTTGGGAAGTGTTTGCTACATCTGCCACCTACTCACGAGTATCACCTTTGGTACGTCTTCTCCTAGGGGCAACTCTCGAAGTTTCTGAAAATAAGTGCATGCTCCGGTTCAAAAACAATCAGAATAACAACACAACAACAAACAAAAAAATCACAGACGTCAACCTGATGGCCGCTGATGAGAATGGCAGTCTAGGTACTGTCACGAGTGACAAATCAGGTGTAAGAAATTAAGGTACCAAGCCGACAAAGGTGTGAATCAAAGTGCAAATCAGTACCATTATACACTCTGCAATTTTGCATTATACTGGACATTGAGTTCAGTAATATGACTGTAAATAATAATAATAATAAAAAGACCCATTTCTTCTTTAAAAATCGAGAACGAATGCACAGATTTCCAGAACACTGTAAGCCCTGAGGCAGTGTCCTCTCTTTTCCCTCCTGTTATCTACTCCAGTACTTGTGGCTGGGTCTGCCCCCGGCTCAGCTCCAGCGGAATGGGACGTGACGAGGGCGGTCGCCTCCCTCCTTCACCAGCGGTTTGTGGAACTCCCGCCCGGCGCGGGAGTGGATGCTCGCCCAGCAGTATTCGCAGTAATACTGCAGACAGGTGACGTTGGCACAGAAGAACGGGGCAAACTTCCCACCACAGCGTGTGCCCTGGCACTCATCACACATCTGATCATCCAGCACATATGGCTTCACTTCCACCTGGACCCGAAAAGGAGAGACAGGAAAAAAAGGTTTAGCCAAGCTTCCTCGCGTTTCTTTCTTCCCCGTTTTTTACAGTATAGTTTACTAATACGTCTCAGCCAGAGGCCAAAATCGCACGTGGCTGAGAGTATGGGCTTCAGACTCCCTTCATTTACTAGCTGTGTGACTGTGGCAAGTTCTGAACCTCGCTCAGGGCTTCTGGGTGCTCACCCTATCTGAATCTGGGAAGTGGGTGTACACTTACACACATCTGCACACACTTATTTGTATCTCTTTAAGCGGAGTCTAACAGTGTCTTCCTCACAGGGACCCGGGGAGGAGGATGACGGGTAACACATGAGCTGAAGGCAGGCCAGCACCTAACAATGCGGGACAAGGAAGAGTGTTTCGGAGACAGGAACGAGCTAGGATGAAGCTCAGAAGCCGGCAAAGGCGCACAGGGACTAGGAAAATGTGTGACAGGAGCCAGGCCACACCGAGGCTGGCAAGGCTCAAGGGCAATAGAACTGTGAGGCTCTGGGCTTGATGTTTTAATGACATGGCTTTGAAAAGACGAACTAACATCCCAGGACTGTATACAGTAGGCGGGAGGGGAAAGGGGGGACTAGTGAGATGTTAAGAAGCCAATAACTGAGGCTTTCACATTTTTTTGTAAGCTTCCAAGACTGGAAGCTTCAGTAGAGAACTATTAATCACAGCCCTTTGGGGGCATTTTATACTCTGAAGAAACAAGGCTGTGTTATGTGAGAACCAAAAGCAAGGATGAACAAGTTACCACATCCCCCCCCCCCCCGTGTCTCCTTCCTAGAACCTCAGAAAAGAAACATCATTAATGTTTTCATCTCGAGTGTTAGAAATCAGCACACGGGGGCACGTCTGTGACAGGCTCCCTCCCCCACTTACCGCCACAGCTGTTCTGGGGAAGAGCAACCGCTGTGGCCACTGGGGCTGTGGCGACAAGGACCCTCAGTTTTTTGACATGAGCTGACTCCCTGAACCCTCAGGCTGCCTCTGGATGCAGCCAGGAGGCTCTAGCGGGACACAAGGTGAGTGGGGAAGATGGGGCCTGCCTAGCGTTGGACACTCCACCCCCCTGGTTCTCCTTCCCTTCCGAAGGCCCCTTTGCCATCCTCCTCCAGACCTGCATCTCCCCACGAGCTCTAGTCCACAGGTCCGCTGGCCAGACAGGTGTTTCTACTTGGAAGACCCACCTGAGAAGACTCGTGCCAGTGCCTGGCTGCCCAGGGGGAAAAGGTCTTTACTCTGGCTCTAGTTCCCTTTCTCCTAGTGCCTCATCCTCAACCTGACAAGTTAGTAAGTGGGCTTCAAAAAACTCTTCTTCATCTCGGCATTGTAATTAAAACTGCAGATGGGGTTCTGGGGTCATCTGCCTGGGTTCAAATCTAGGCCATGTTAGTGGCTGTGCAACCTCAGGCAAGTTTCTCAGCCACCCTGAGCCTCTGATTCCTCATCTGTACACTGGACGAAAGGAGACTTGGGGAAAGCACCCCATGAGCACTAAGCATAATTCTAATTCTACTGCTTTCTCTCTAGTCCAGGCCGTCACAGCGCGCCCAGATGTGCTCAGTGTCGATGGCCTCTGCACTGACCGCCAGGCTCCAGGCCTCCAATTGTCTATTACTATGCTCCTCTCCTGGCCAAAGCCATTCAGATTCTCCACTGCCTACAGGACGAAACCCAGCTGCCTTCGTATGTATAATAGGGTACTTCCTGTCCACTATGGCTCAGTTATAAGCCAGACACTTCATGATTTGCCCCAATCTCTCCCAACTAATTCCCAGCTCAAACTCTACTTCCATGTTCTTCCCACCTTAATGCTCTCCTTTAACACTCAGCCCATTCAACAATTTCATGTACCCAATGAGGCCCAATCTTTCTTAACATAAAATTAACAATTTTAAAGTGAACAATTCAATGACATTTAAAACATTCACAATGTTGTACAACCACCACCTACCTTACCTCTATCTAGTTCCCAAACATTTCATCACCCCAAAAGGAAACCCTGTACCCACTAAGCAGTTACTCACCCCACCTCTCCCTCCCGAGCCCCTGGCAACCACCAATCTGCTTTTTGTCTCTAAGGATTTACCTATTCTGAATATTTTCTGTAAATGGAATCTTAGAACGTGTGACCTTTCATGTCTGGCTTCTTTCACGTATCAAAATGTCTTGACGTTCATCCGTGTTACAGTATTTTCTTCCTTTTTATGACTGAATACTATTCCATTGTATGTGTATGTGTATGTATGTATATCCCACATTTGTTTATCCCTTCATTTGTGAATGGACATTTGGCTACTGTGAATGGTTCTGCTAGGAACATATGTGTACATACATTTGTTTGGATGCCTGTTTTCAATTCTTTTGAGTATAGTCCTAGGAGTAGAATTGCTGGGGCGTACAGAAATTCTATGTTTAGCATTTTGAAGAACAGCCGAATTGTTTTCCACTGAGGCTGTGCCATTCTTTATTCCCACCAGCAATGTACCAGGGTTCCAATTTCTCTCTCTATGCAGCAATACTTGCTGTTTCCCATTTTTGTGATCACAGCCATCGTAGTGGGTGTGAAGAGGTACCTCGTTGTGGTTTTGGTTTGCATTTGCCTACTGACTAATGACACTGAGCATCTTTTCATGTGCTTGTTGGCCATTTGTGTATCTTCTTTGGAGAAATGGTCCTTTGACCATTTTTTAAATTGGATTGTTTGTTTTTTTGTTGTTGAGTTGTATGAGTTCTATATATATATATATATATATATATATATATATATATATATATATATATATATGCCAGATACTAGATTTTTATCAACATAAGATTTGCAAATACTTTCTCGTATTTTGTAGGTTATATTTCACTTCCTTGTTAATGCCCACTGACACACAAACGTTTTTAATTTTGATGAGGTACAGTTTATCTATGCTTTTCTTCTGTTGCTCCTCCTTTTGATGTCAGGTCTAAGAATCCACTGCCAAATCCAAGGTCATAAAGATTTATCCCTATGTTTCTTCTAAGAATTTTATGGTTTTAGCTCCCGTAGGTAGGTAGGTTAATTTTGAGTCAGTTTTGTACAGAGTGTGAGGCACATCATTCTTGTGTGTGTGGACACCAGCTGCCCCAGCACCACTGCTGGGAGAGACTCCTCTTTACCTACTGCAGGTCTTGGCAACCTTGTCAGAAATCAGTGAGAGGCCCAGTCTTCCTTAACTATTTCTGTCCCACAAGGATCTATTCCTTCCTCCTTTGTACTTAACACTCCGTATTGCTCATGTGGCATTTCCTACTACAGTCCTGCCTTGGTCAGCATCTCTCCTTAGCTTCAAGCAACCTGAGGACAGAGTCCTAGAGTAAGACAGAACAGAGGTACATCTGGGAAGAGTGTGGTCTGTAGAGATTATAGACAACTAGGGGAAGGGAGCTATTGGTTAATGAGTGTATCTAACCTGGCCTCATCTTGTGCATCTGAAGGCCAAAGAGGAGCCAAATGGGGGACTGAATCCCGTGCCCTGAGGCTGCAGGGCTACTGGCAGAAGCAGGGCTCGCAGGGGCAGGGGCCTGGCAGCAGCCTGCGTTTCCACCTTCAGCCTGTGAGAGGGCTGCTTTGCTTCTATCAACAGGCAGGTGCCTATACTCAGGGTGCTCCAGCAACCAACGCTGAGCCCCAATAAGCCTGGATGGGGGGATCCAGCAGTCAGAGGAGGATTGGTCTGAACAAACAGAACTCACTCTCAGCAAAAAAAGCTGCTGGGGGAGAAAAACAATAGCCATTTATAATATCTACAAATATGAAAAGAGCACTTGAGATTCAAGTCTAGTACAAAGGGGAGTTCCTGGTAACATTTTTAAAAAAACAATTACTTTTGTTTAGGTATAAAAACAGTATTGTGGCTATGTGGGTGTTTTTTTTTTTTAAATTTACCTCAGGTTTTTTTTAAGAGCTTTATTTTTTAAATTGAGGTTAAAGTCATAAAAAATTAACCATTTTAAAGTGAACAATCCAGGGGTGTTTAATACACTCACAATGTTGTGTAACCACCACCTCTATCTAGTTCCATAAGATTTTCATCACCACAAAAGGAAACCCTGTACTCCCAGTTGTTGTTTTTTTTTAAATTAAAGTTTATTGGGGCCCAATTTTGTTTTTTAAAGAACTCTTTTTTTAGAGATATTACTGAATTATTTAACTGAATTATTTCAGGATGAAATAACACGATGTGTAGGATCTGCTTCAAAATAATCTGGGGTGAGGGTGGGAGAGTGAGTAGGTAACTATTGAAACTGGATGATAGGAACACCGTATGTCCATAATTGTAATTGGATGATGAGGCTCACTATACTAATCTCTATACTTTTGTATATATTCAAACTTTTGTATTATCAAGAAGCTAAAATATCTAAACTGTGACTTTTTGACTAGTGAAGCGATCAGGTGAATTGAAGAACGGATATCACTGTTGAGGTCCAGTTTTGTGGCCTAGAAGATCAGGTGGCAGAAATATTTCACAGCTCTAGAAAAAAATAATTTTGAAAAGTAAACTGAGGAAAGATAACAAATTTTAGAATAGATCCAGGAGAACCTAATATACAAATCACTAAAGTTCTGGAAGAAGAAAAAAGAAATGAGGAAAGGCAATAAGCGGACAAAAGTCCTGAAACTGCATAACAAAAATACCACCAGGTCCAGTCTAGACTGATAAGGAAAAAAAAGAAAAACAAACAAACATACCACCAGGCATATCCTGGTAAATCGCTAGGCAAAATTTCTGTACTCCAAAGGTAAAGAGAAACTGTTACATGCTTCCAAGTGAAAAGAGCTAGTTACTATCTCCTGCAAAGGGAAGAAAGAAACGAACTGACATAGGACACTAGAAGCTAGAACACCAAAGAATACTACCTATTAGGCTGAGAGAAAAGGACATGATCCAAAAATCCTGTGTCTACTCAAGACATCATTTCTCTGTCAAGGCTTGTAA